GATCCTGGTGATGGGGCACTATTCCTACCACTGATCCTGGTGATGGGGCACTATTCCTACCACTGATTTTGGTGATGGGGCACTATTCCTACCACTGATCCTGGTGATGGGGCACTATTCCTACCACTGATCCTAGTGATGGGGCACTATTACTCCCACTGATCCTGGGGATAGGGCACTATTCCTATCACTGATCCTAGTGATGGGGCACCTTTCCTATCACTGATCCTAGTGATGGGGCACTATTCCTACCACTGATCCTAGTGGTGGGGCACCATTCCTACCACTGATCCTAGTGGGTGGGGCACCATTCCTACCACTGATCCTAGTGATGGGGCACTATTCCTACCACTAACACCAATGATGGGGCACTATTCTTCCCATTGACACCAATGATAGAGCACTATACCTAACACTCTCTCCAACAAAGGGGCACTATTCTTCCCACTGACACTAATAATGGGGCATTATTCCTCCACTGACACCAATGATGGGGCACTATTCTTCCACTTCAAACTGAAGCACCTTCTACTTCCCACTGACACCAGTGATGGGGATCTAGTGTATTTCTTTCTCTAAAATCAATAATGGGGCAATATTCTTCCCACTAATACCAATGATGGGGCATTGTTTACTCCCGTTGACATCAGGGCATTTTTTTACTCATGCTGGCCACAGTCCGCCCCCCTCAATGTCTGAAGGACAGCAAACTGGCCCTTTATTCAGAGAGTTTGGAGACCCCTGCTCTAGATTCTTTGCTTAAAAATATATATATATAATGTTTGGAGGTTATAAGTAATTTTCTAGCAAAAAATCCTGATTTAAACATGTAAACAAAACGTGCCAGTGAATGCTTGGTCTTCAAGTGGATATTCATAGATCCTGTTTCAGACATAAAAACTGGTATGGCTTCTATGATTGGAGCAGCTGGGCAGAAGGGGCTGGCATAGTTGGGCACTCTTGAGAGCATGTAGCAGCCCCCATGGCTCTATATACCCCATGCCCCCTACCCCGCCATTGTAATCTCCTGGGGGCCATCGATGGAGGAGGATATCACCACAAGGAACACATCCTACTGGCTGTAAGTGATGTCCCTTTTACTGATTATTTTTTATTTTATTTTTGTCTTTTAAGGATGTGTTGAACATTACAGAGCTGCATTGTTTGTGATTTGTATGTCTGCCTGGAATTCAGCTTTAGGAAAACATTTTGTATCATGTCATGCTGTCATCTTCCACTGTGTGGCACTGCAGCTCCAAATGTGCAGGCAACTTTTGTCTTTTCATATCAAAGTAAGTGAGAAGCGATCTCTAGAAAAATAGCAGTAAAAACCGTCAGGGACGCTAGTCCTTCCCCACTCGATCCAACACTGGAAACCGTTTTAGCTCAACAAACATTTAAAGGTGAACCTTTAGTAAAATGTCAATTTCATTTGTAACATTTTCTTTCCTTTCTTTTCTTTCCTTTCTTTCCTTTCTTTCCTTTCCTTTCCTTTCTTTTCTTTTCTTTTCTTTCTTTCCTTTCTTTTATTTCCTTTCTTTCCTTTTATTTCCTTTCTTTCCTTTCTTTCCTTTTATTTCCTTTCTTTCCTTTCTTTTATTTCCTTTCTTTCTTTCCTTTCCTTCCTTTCTTTCTTTCCTTTCCTTCCTTTCTTTCTTTCCTTTCCTTCCTTTCCTTCTTTCCTTTCTTTCTTTCCTTTCCTTTTCTTTCTTTCCTTTCTTTCCTTTCCTTTTCTTTCCTTTCCTTTCCTTCCTTCCTTTCCTTTCCTTCCTTTCTTTCTTTCCTTCCTTCCTTTCTTTCTTTCTTTTTCTTTCTTTCTTTCCTTTCCTTCCTTTCTTTCTTTCCTTTCCTTCCTTTCTTTCTTTCCTATTCTTCCTTTCTTTCTTTCCTTTTTCCTTCCTTCCTTTCCTTCCTTTCTTTTATTTCCTTTCTTTTTTTTTTCTTTTCTTTTTCTTTTCATTTCCTTTCCTTTTTTCTTTTCTTTTCTTTTTCTTTCCTTTTTTCTTTTCTTTTCTTTTTCTTTCCTTTTTTTTTTCCTTTTTCTTTCCTTTTTCTTTCCTTTTTCTTTCCTTTTTTCTTTCCTTTTTTCTTTCCTTTTTTCTTTCCTTTTTTCTTTCCTTTTTTCTTTCCTTTTTTTTCTTTTCTTTTTTTCTTTTCTTTTTCTTTTCTTTTCTTTTTCTTTTCTTTTTCTTTTTCTTTTTCTTTTCTTTTTCTTTTCTTTTTCTTTCTTTCCCTTTCCCTTTCTTTCCCTTGAAATGGTTGAGACAAAATGTTGCTAAACAGAGGGGTTCAACTGACCAGAGGGGCTAATTCACTGATGCCATTACCATCTGGATGGTTGACCTCTTTATTGTCATGTTTCTTTTCATCAAGAAGAATGCATATATGTGAAGTTTTTTTTGCTAAAATATTTGTAATTCTGTTCAGTCACTAATGTGAATTAGATAAGGATGGTATAAAGTGAGCGCTCCTAACCAAGCAGCTAGCACTAGAGGTAATCACAGTGTACCCGTAAACAGCAGAATAATAATAACAAAGTGCAGCGCTGAGAAATTTGTGTAAATAGTAAAAAGTCCGTAGTTATCAACTACATATAAATATATAGTCCCAAGAACAAGCTGATGAAGACCAGGAAGCAATGGAAAGAGTGCGCACTCACCGGACGCGCATGGAAAATGCGCATGAATGAATAACTCCTGGAATCCTAGAGTAGATGGAGAGGGTGAATTCCAATATATAGGATCAGTCAGCCTGGGAAGATATATCAGAGATCCGGAGGTCCCCTTAAGGTTGGTGTGATTTTCAGCCAGACTCCAACAGCTCCGTCCCTCTGGTGGTGATAGGTGAGTACTACAGGGACCCTGCAAATGGATTTAGCTCCCAATGGGAACCAAGAAACAGGTGCCCATAGTGTAGTATTTTATAGTAAGTTTATTAAATGTAACTCAAAATGACAGGCAGGGTAGTAAGGTTGTGTACAGTACATATAGGAAAGCAGAGTACGCAGCAATGGTACTAACCCTGAGTTAAAATGGCCGCGGGGCTGTCTCGTGGCTCCGGGCAGAAGATGACGTCATGCTCTGTCGGTTCCTCCTAAACCGACAGAGCATGACGTCATCTTCTGCCCGGAGCCACGAGACAGCCCCGCGGCCATTTTAACTCAGGGTTAGTACCATTGCTGCGTACTCTGCTTTCCTATATGTACTGTACACAACCTTACTACCCTGCCTGTCATTTTGAGTTACATTTAATAAAACTTACTATAAAATACTACACTATGGGCACCTGTTTCTTTGGTTCCCATTGGGAGCTAAATCCATTTGCAGGGTCCCTGTAGTACTCACCTATCACCACCAGAGGGACGGAGCTGTTGGAGTCTGGCTGAAAATCACACCAACCTTAAGGGGACCTCCGGATCTCTGATATATCTTCCCAGGCTGACTGATCCTATATATTGGAATTCACCCTCTCCATCTACTCTAGGATTCCAGGAGTTATTCATTCATGCGCATTTTCCATGCGCGTCCGGTGAGTGCGCACTCTTTCCATTGCTTCCTGGTCTTCATCAGCTTGTTCTTGGGACTATATATTTATATGTAGTTGATAACTACGGACTTTTTACTATTTACACAAATTTCTCAGCGCTGCACTTTGTTATTATTATACTAATGTGAATTACACAACCCCATCATCTATACGGCTAGAAGGGGTCATCGCTATTTAGGGTTCTACAGCTGTGCAGCTTCCCGTGTTACATGCCTACATTTAGCCTGACCACCACCACTTGCCTAGGCACCACGGAGAGAAGGCTGGGAAGGAGGGTGGAGTAAGATAGGTATGAATTTTTTTTTTTTTTTTTAAAGGTACATTTTGGATACCAAGAGCTAGTGACTATTACATGGGGAAAGGAACCGGATGTTACAAATGAAATTGGCATTTTACTAAAGGTTCACCTTTAAATGTTTGTTGAGTTAAAATGGTTTCCAGTGTTGGAATGAGTGGGGAAGGATTAGCGTCCCTAACGGTTTTTACTGCTATTTGTGGCTCTGTTCCAGAGATCACTTCTCACATTGATCTTTTTTCCTCTCTCTCTTCCTTACCACCAGGAAAGTGAGTTAGGCAAAATCTCCCCACTGGAGCCTTGGATAGCAGTAAACTACTGACAGGGCTTACATCCCAAGAACTGTTTTTTAGACATTTTTGGAGATCTAGTACTCTCACAGTACGCTAAAAGATTGTTACGGATGTTGTATTTTTATGCTAAGAAAGTGCTTCTATTGTCCTAGAAAGGATGAAGTCGGCCCACAGTGGCCTCTTGGCTTAAACCTGGTAATGATTCCCTCCCCCTGCATAAACTTACTTTTGAGTTTAGGAAAACATCCAAAGTGTTTCATAAAATATGGGACAGGTGGCTTTCCAATCCCTTTACTTTATCCTCTATAGATCCAATGTCTTGAAGTCAGTTCTCCATACCCAGGTTGGTTATGTATAGTCTCTTTTATTTGAGTACATTCTGTTTGTTGTACAATTTGGTATATCGGACATGTGAGACACCGTGAGATGCTCTGATTTTTTCTCCGTTTTATTTTTTTGGACTTTGTGCTGGGTTTCTCTTTCTTTTTTTTTTGTATACCTTGTGTTAAAACTCAAACATATCTTTAAAAAAACAAAACACTGACAGGGGCTCTTATCCTTCCCCACATACCTTGTAAGGTGTACATAATTCTATTAGCATGTGCTAAGGCTTAACATTTTTACTGAATTACACCTAAACACTGAGCAGCCATTTTTGCTCATGCAGGTTGTGTTTCCTGCTAAGTGAAGTACAGATAACCAGGAAAGAGATTCTATACATCTATGTATTGCAAAAATGGTACAGAAAACATGGAAAAATTAAAGTGACTTCAAAAATAGCTTTAGATAAAGATTATGACAGCAACTCGACATATGTGTATATTCCATCTATACATAGATTTACTTTTTGTATTTTTGTTTTCCAGACAGGGGAAGCTGTTGCCTTAAAGAAGGTGGCACTGAGAAAGTTGGAAGAGGGTATCCCAAATCAAGCCCTACGAGAGATTAAAGCTCTGCGAGAAATTGAAGACAACCCATATGTGAGTGACCAGGCAAAGTGCTAACCTGTAGCAGCTGTTTAAAACTTTATTTTACTCTTTCGACTGCAGTAAACTGAAATCTGCTGTGGAATTATGCACAAACTTCTTTCCCTGGTAATTCAGACATTTTCAGATGTTTAACACCCGTTTCCAGTTTCTTTACTATAAAGTAGAACGAATGGCAAAACTTTTTCTAATTTTGGATAGAATAAGGGAGGGTTATAACCCATGTCAGATTTCTTTTTTGGTTATCTGTGTCCCATTGGGGAGATTGACCTTCGCTACCTGTCCCATAGACCAGGGCTTAAAATTTCAAGTCCTGAGCTACTAGCCAGTTACTCGCAACCAACAAAACACACACAAACAGAGACACCTGTACACACACACACACAGACATGTACATACACACAGAGACACATGTACACACACACATACAGACACATGTATACACACACAGGCACGTACAGACACGCATACACACAGATACATGTACATACACAGAAATACACATGTACATACACAGACACGTACTTAAATACACACAAACACACACATGTACATGCGCACACACACACGTATACACACACACACACACACACACACATACATGTACATACACGCAGACACATGTACAGATACACACGTGGATGTACATGCAGACACACACACATATACACGTGTGCGCGCACACACACCCCATAAAAAGTTGCAGTACTTAGTTGTTCACTCACAGAGCCTGGTACTGCACTCTAGGGGGAGGAAGAGAGCACAGCACACACTCCTTCCTTTGCTTTCACTGCGCTCAGCTATTGGGCAGTCTGATGGCACCCAGTGCCAATGACAGATCCGGTCTGAGCTCCGAGCTTGCTCAGCAAGACGGCCCTGGGGGACACACTCGCCCCCACCATAATTTCCACTCGCCATTGGCAAGCAGGCGAGTGGAAATTTCAAGCCCTGCCATAGACAAAATAGGAAGTGGGAGAAAATCCCTGCAAATTAAGGGAATCCGTTGTGGACCCCCAGGTCACCAGAACTAGTGTCCCCTTTGAAAGATTTCCCCTCTATTACTTTTCTAGGGATAACCCAAAATGTGGGATTTTCTTTCACTTGCCATCATAATGGTAAACAGGACAGGTAGAGAGGGTAGATCTCCCTAACAAGGATCATCACTCCTACGAATAAAAAATGAAGCCCTAGCTGCAAAACGCCCTCCTCTCTGATGCTGTCTACTGCTGCAAATTCAATGCACTGTGATCCAGTACTGGTTTGGGTTTGAATGAGGCTTATCATCAATCAACCCACTTCCTGAGACCTTGGGTGTCAAGCAGCTGCCCCCTGTGATGTGTCATTGAAGCTCTAGCTACAATACTCACCTCCTCTCTGGTGCTGTCTCCTGCAAACTCAATGCATTGTGATCCTGCGTTGGCTAAGGCCTGAATGAGGCTACCCTCGATCAACCCACTTCCTATGAACCCTAGGTGTTAGGCAGCTGCCCCTGGGAGTGGGTCATTGGGTCAGCCTGAGCTCATGGGGAAATGCTCTAACACCTTTCTCTGCAATATTCAGGATCCACCACCAGAGGCAAAAGTAGAGAAAAGAGTACCCTTAAAGTGGAGCTCCACTCACTCTGTAAAAAAATAAGTCAGCAGCTGCAAAAACTTTTTTAAAAACAGTCACTCAGCTGTCCCACGATCCCGTGGTGCCCCCGCCGCAGCCCGTTTTACCAGCTCACCGGCCGTCCTGTATTCCAGGTGCTGTCAGCTTCAGTGTGGGCACCCGGCTGTGACAGCTTGCGGCTTCACAGCACAGCCAGGTGCCCACTGCGCATGCGGGAGTAGTGCTGCGCTTCCTGAATGGCCCCATCGTCTTCTGGGACCTGTCACGTGTCCCACAAGACTTCGGGGAGGGAGGGAAGGAGGACAACTTCCGTTTCCGATTGCCTAGGCGATCCCAGCAGAAGTGGGAGCGGGTACCTGTCAAATTTGGGTACCCATAACCCCCCCCAAAGGTGTCAATCCTTAATGGGGAGCGGGGGACCAATCTTTAAAGCGGAACTTCCCTTTTGGGTGGAACTCCGCTTTAATGTCACATGATCAGACTGAAGATCCCTGCAAAAAGGTAGGTATGCAGAGCTTAAAAAATAAAAGCTGGTGGGTTGTGGATATAAGGTAGATATAACTGTTTTAATTGTAAAAATACCTGTTGATCCTGCCAAAAATCTTGTGAGCTGGTAACTTCTTTTACTCTTGGTCTCTGATCACTGTTATCAGTTACCATTGTTCCAGATATCTCTGTAGATCACAAAACATCCACTGCTATGGGAAGGTAGGTAGGTAGATAGGTGTGTGTGCTGTAGTCCTAACCCCTTTCCTTTCTAGTTTGACGCTGCTTCTCCTACTGTACATAAATACCATGCGGTGAGTGAGCGTTGTCACATTAGGACAGGAAGTGTATTATTTACAGGATCATCAGCTGAAAATAAAGGGGGGAAAAAAGCCAGAAATAAAGAAAACTAATGCAGCCACCACATCTAAGGACTGAAAATCTACAATTTATCACATTGTGTTTAAGGTGGAATTAGGCTTTAGGAAATTATTTCTGAGCTTATTACCCACAATGCCATGTTTTTAATTACTTTTCACCTTGTATCTGATTTCAGGTAGTTAAACTAAGAGATATGTTCCCACATGGCACAGGGTTTGTGTTGGTCTTTGAGTACATGCTCTCTGACCTTTCTGAAGTCATCAGGAACTCTGACCAGCCGCTGACTGAGGCCCAGGTTAAAGGCTACATGATGATGCTGCTGAAAGGGGTCAAGTTCTGCCATGAGAATTCCATCATGCATCGAGTAGGTACTTATCAGAGTGTTTATACTCTTCAGCGTCGTCTTTCGTCTACTCACCAGTTTTTCTGATTCCATTGATAGGACCTAAAACCAGCAAATCTTCTGATCAGCTCTACCGGCATCCTGAAGATTGCCGACTTCGGCCTAGCCCGGGTTTTCTCCAATGACCAGGGGCGCTTGTACAGTCATCAAGTAGCCACCCGGTCAGTAGTGATGTTTATCTGTTTAATTAATTCTACTGCCTGTAGTAAGAGTCCATTCTGGATATCACCTCTGGCAGTTAGAACTATATAAACAAAATGGGGGGGGGTTCGAGTCATAAAGTGAAACCCATATACATATATATTTTTTTTTCTTCAAATATTCTCACTATTCCAAAAAATCCCAGAATTCCACATTAAAGAGCAACTTGTCTAGTATAAGTTGATACCTCATTGTTTTTTATCATTAAAGCTGAACGCCAGGCAAACAGGTAACTAACAAATGACATACCTTTAGGAGAGTTGTTACAAACTCTTCTGTTTGAATGCATTTCATATATTCCACTACAGGAAGACTTAGGAGGCTTTTCACAGTGCTTTTGGGCTGGACTGTAAGGAGAGAAATACAATGGACTGTCGCTGACCTCTAATGAAAATAACAGTTGCCTGGCTATTATGCTGACCTTCTGGTTTCTGTTTTTGATCTTCTAGTTTTCTTTTAATCGGGGTCCTCATGTGATTTACAGAAGTATTTGAGCACCCTGCGATTTTGCAAGTTCTCCCACTTAGAAATCATGGAGGGGTCTGAAATTCACATTGTAGGTGCATTCCCACTCTGAGAGACAGAATTAAAAAAAAATTCAGGAAATCACATTGTATGATTTGTAAAGAATTTATTTGTCTTGCACTGCTGAACATAAGTATTTGAACACCTAAGAAACAGCAAGAATTCTGGGTCTCAAAGACCTGTTACTGTGCCTTTAAAAAGTCCACCTCTACTCCACTCACTAATCTAACTTAGTAGCACCTGTCTGAGCTCTTTAAAGACACTTGTCCACCCCACAGTCAGTCAGACGCCAACTACTACCATGGGCAAGACCAAAGAGCTGTCAAAAGACACCAGAGACAAAATTGTGGACCTCCAAAAGGCTGGAAAGGGCTACGGGGCAATTGCCAAGCAGCTTGGTGAAAATAGATTAACTGTTGGAGCAATTGTTAGAAAATGGAAGAGGCTAAAGACGACTGTCAGTCTCCCTCGGACTGGGGCTCCATGCAAGATCTCACCTCGTGGGGTATCACTGATGATACGAAAGGTGAGGAATCAGCCCAGAACTACATGGGAGGAGCTGGTCAATGACATGAAGAGAGCTGGGACCACAGTTTCAAAGGTCACTGTCGGTAGAACACTACGCCGTCATGGTTTCAAATCATGCATTGCAAGGAAGGCTCCCCTGCTCAAGTCATCACATGTCCAGGCCCGTCTGAAGCTTGCCAATGACCATCTGGATGATCCAGAGGAGGCATGGGAGAAAGTCATGTGGTCAGATGAGACCAAAGTAGAACTTTTTGGTCTAAACTTCACTCGTTGTGTTTGGAGGAAAAAGAAGGATGAGTTGCATCCCAAGAACACCATCCCTACTCTGAAGCATGGGGGTGATAATATCATGCTTTGGGGGGTGCTTTTCTGCGAAGGAGACAGGACGACTGCACTGTATTAAGGAGAGGATGAATGGGGCCATTTATTGTGAGATTTTGAGCAACAACCTCCTTCCCTCAGTCAGAGCATTGAAGATGGGTCGTGGCTGTGTCTTCCAACATGACAGCGGCCCGAAGCACACAGCCAGGATAACCAAGGAGTGGCTCCATAAGAATCATATCAAGGTTCTGGAGTGGCCTAGCCAGTCTCCGGACCTAAATCCAATAGAACTGGAGGGAGCTGAAACTCCGTGTTGCTGAGCGACAGCCCCGAAACCTGACAGATCTAGAGGAGATCTGTGTAGAGGAGTGGGCCAAAATCCCTGTTGCAGTGTGTGCAAACCTGGTCAAGGACTACAGGAAATGTTTGACCTCTGTAATTGCAAACAAAGGCTTCTGTACCAAATATTAACACTGATTTTCTCAGGTGTTCAAATACCTATGTTCAGCAGTGCAAGACAAATAAATTCTTTTTAAAATCATACAATGTGATTTCCTGAATTTTTTTTTAAATTCTGTCTCTCAGAGTGGGAATGCACCTACTATGTGAATTTCAGACCCCTCCATGATTTCTAAGTTGGAGAACTTGCAAAATTGCAGAGTGTTCAAATACTTCTATTCCTCACTGTATGTCTCTTTACAGGTGGTACAGAGCACCCGAACTGCTATATGGAGCCCGCAAGTATGATGAAGGAGTGGACTTATGGTGAGTATGCTCTTTCTTCATCCAGACATCAAAGCACTGATTCCTACACTTCTAGTAACATTGCCTTTTTTATAAGGGCGGTTGGCTGCATATTTGGGGAACTCCTGAATGGCTCTCCTCTCTTTCCCGGGGAGAATGACATTGAACAGTTGTGCTGCGTTTTGCGGACTTTGGGGACACCCACTGCTAAAACCTGGCCTGTGAGTAAAATGTTGGAATTTTTCGTTTTCACATGTTCCAGTTCTTCCTCTGCTCATGTGTTTTGTCATTTTTAGGAAATTACCGAATTGCCAGATTATAACAAGATCTCATTCAAGGAGCATCGCCCTCTCCCTCCTGAGCGTATCGTGCCTGACACCTCCCCTGAAGCCCTACAGCTTCTTATGCTCTTCTTGGTATATCCATCCACCCACAGGATCCGAGCGGCTGAGGTGAGCTCTGCTGGGAGAACCTGGTATTTTCTGCATATTAACCCCTTGACGCCGACGTAACACAAATATGCAGCCTCACAGAACTGGGCTTTTTTCCATGGGGCCGCATATTTGCGTACCTGTCTTTGTGTGGGGAGCGCGCTGCACGGTGCGCTCCCAGCACAAAGACCACGGTGTCACTGACAGCACCGGGTCCCATTGTAATGATCGGGACCCGGGACTCCTGATTCCGGATCACATGATCGCTGTGATAGCCTCTGATTGGCTGTCACAGCAATCGCCTCTGATTGGCTATCACAGTCATCAGTCACTGTACAGCCCGGCCCCCTTGTGTTTTTTTTTTCTCTCTCTATGAATGGAAGAAAGAGATACATGGTATCTCTCAACTCCTGGCATAGAGAGAAAAAAATTTTTTTTGTAAAAAATAAATATATAAATAAAGAAAGAAATATTAAAAAAATAAAGAAAAAATACCTAGATCAAGGTTTGATCTAGTTCAGTGCCAGGGTTATGCAGGCCATAGATGGATCGAAAACCGTCAGTTTAAAAAGAAAAAACGAAAAATTGGTTGTTCAATAGGCCGACATTCCCACCAATGGTAAAAAAAAAATTGGCCGATTTTTCGTCCCGTCTACGGACGGCATTATTTACTTCTGTCCCTTGCAGAGAGCTCCGCTATTATATTTGACATGAAAAAGTATTGCGGTTGCAACAATGTATCCATTGTGGATACAGATGTTTTTATTCGGATGCAAATAGATACATTGTTGCAACCGCAATACTTTTCATATAAAATATAATAGCGGACTGGAATACTTCTTTTTCGTCTTCTCTTTCTTCTTCTTTTTCTTCTACTTCTTTTTCTTCTTTTTGCAGGTCACGGTCATGCGCAGATTTTTTATTGGCAAAACAATCGGACGATTTGCCCATCATTGGCGGGAAAATCGGCTGATTTTTTTCCAACTTTACCGATAAAAAAAAAATGTGCCAAAACCCAGAAAAACGGCCGACCAATTAACCCACTAATGGTGCGAAAATCGGCCGATTTTTGACCCGTCTATGGCCTGCATTAGTGTTTGGGTCAAGGTCGGGGTCAAAGGTCAGGATTAAAAAAAATTGGTGTTAGTGTCAATGCCAGTGCCAGTGTGTTTTAGATAAAAAAAAAAAAAAAAAAAAATGTTCACTACTGTTTCTGGGCTGTACTACGGGTACAAATAACATACACATATATGGTATCGCTGCGATCGCCAAGAGCTGGAGAATTTATTTTGGGTTCTTTGGAGGTAGGTTATGGTAGTAACAAGAAACACACAGTAAAAAAAAAAAAAAATTTTTTTTTTTTAGCTATTTTGGGCCAGTTTCCTTTGATAAAAAACAAAATCAGGAGATATCCATTACCATTTACCACCAATTGAAAGCCCAATTTGTCCTGAAAAAAAACAAGGTATAATTCACCTGGATGTACAAAGTAGTTGTGATGATATGTACAGTTTTACTAACACATGTCAACGTTGCAAAATTGTGCTTAGGCATTAAGATTTGTTTTACCCTTAGGCATGAAGGAGTTAACCCTCCTTAGGTCTTACCCCAGAAGGCACAAAGGAGAAGTAGTATGGAGAAGAATTTATTTATTTAATGATAAAAAGAGAAAAATGTGTTGAAAGTGTACCCATACAGTCCCCAAATTGGATTATGGGGCGTAAGCAGCAATGATTTTTCAGTGCATTTAATTCAGTGTGGACGTACCAGAGAACTTGCAGGAGGCGCACCCCCTCACATCCCACAATATGAGCAGCCAAGCTCCCAGGGCTAAATGCTGGAGCAGGAGTGTGCTGTCTATGGGGCCTATTTAAAATGGAGAGGAAGTTTATGCACCAGATATACGGTGACTGTGATAAATCCTAAAAAGCCCACAGAGGATGCTTTTCTTTGTAGTTGGTTACTTTCTGTACCTTAGGGGCTGAGCAAATTGATTTGTTCTACATTTCTAGCTCCTAGAATTGTGATTGGGAGATGCTGGCGTAAATTGGCAATGCCTTTTGGAGTTGGTCAAGATCAAACCTAACTGGGTCATGCTTAATGATAAATGAACAAATTTATTCCAATTTTCTATTACGAGTGAGGGTAAACGTCTCCTATCAGGACACGTCATTTATCCAACTAACTAGTTTCACCTTCCCCCTGTTGACCTTACACAGCCCCCTGTTGACGTACATTAAAACGGCTTCTTCATTCTCTGAGCTGCAACTTTTGCATAATAACCAGATTCCAGTTTTTACTGTCAAAACTGCTGCAACTTGCATAATAACCAGATTCCAGGTTTTACTGTCAAAACTTAATTAACCACTTCCTGTCCAGCCCATGTAGATAAATGGCCGGAAGGAGCGCTGCTGAAGTGGGTGGACGTTTCTAACTGTCCCCCCGCATCCATTGCATGTGCGCGCTCCCTGGGAGCATGCGGCAACGTGATCGCTGTATGGTACCTCTGTGTGAAGTCCTGGTTCATGTGATCACTGATTGGCCAATCACTGATCACATGAATAGTAGTAAACAAGATGTCACTTCCTGACATTGCTTACTACTTGTGAAATCTGTGAATGATCACAGAGGTCACATGGTACAAGGCTATTCACAACAGCCTTGTACCATGTGACAAGCTGTGACTAATCACAGCTCTCACAGTATTTCTCAATGGCTGCAAGAGTGCAGCCAGAGAGAAGGAGAAATGATTGCTTTTACAGCCTTTATGGATGTAAAAGCAATCAGTGCAAAAAAAAAAAGAAAAAAAAATCTTCACCCCGCACTATGGTGACACTGTACTGCTAGGGTGACAGTATGTTAAAAAAAAAAACCTTAATAATATGAAAAAGTAAAACAATTTTTTTAAAAATTATAATTTTTGGTTATAAACTAATTTGGGTTATTTTTTTTTTACTAAAAAGAAGAGTACATTTTGATTTGTGAAGATTTGTCAAGATTTATGAAGAAAGATTATTTATTTGCAAAGCGCTTTTTTTAAAAAAATATTTGGACTTTTTAATTTATATAGCAAAAAAAAAATAAAAATCCCAGTGGTGAATAAATACCACCAAAATAAAGTTTTATCTGTCTCAAAAAAATGCTAAACAATTCATATGGGTACAGTGTTGCATGACCGCGCAATTGTCATTCAAAGTGTGATAGCACTGAAAGCTGAAAATTGGCCTGAGCAGGAAGGGGGTGAAAGTGTCCGGACTTGAAGTTGTTAAACAAACTGAAGTTAGAAACTGGCTACCTTGCACAGCTGCACCAGATTCTAAGTGCACCAGTTTTAGTAAATCTCCCTCATATTGTCCATGAGACACCCCACTTCCAAAGCTCAAGCCACCTATACAGTTGCCGGTATTTTGCAAACAAGTCTTTTTCAAGTGCAATTCCTTACACAATACCTCTGGATAACTGAGCGCTATTTTTTAATGAATATGTACTGTATTGAACTACTGTCTTTCAAGTCTCAATACCTGACTGTATATTCTCTGGAATAAATAAAGAATTGAGCAAATAAATGAATGAGCATACCACATAACTTATTAGCTGAGTTTGAGGTTACATGGGGTCCACGAATCCATTATACTTCATTCACCCAAGACCTGGTGTAGAGTTCTCAACCATTTCTTCTTGTCTTTCCTCTTTCTTACTTATCCTTTTTTATTTTTTCTTTCCAATTCTGTCCTGTTTGTATCATCCTGCGAATATTGTTGTATGAGGTTTGAAATTCTTGTACTATAAGCTATGGATATTTTTTATACTATGGGGGAGATTTACTAAAACTGGAGAGTGCAAAATCTGGTGCAGCTCTGCAAAGAAATTAGTCAACTGCCAAGTTTTATTGTAAAAGTGGAACTACAGTGCATCTGAGTGCCGCAAACCAAAAATGCAATTTAATCCATTTTTAATATGCAAAGCAAACTCTTCCATCCATCCATGTCTCCATGCTTTATTTTTCTGGCTGTGGCCATCTTGCATAAGGGCAGGAGTATTTAATTCCTGGAATCCATGTTCCCCTAGCTTACAGTGGTTGTAAAGGCTGAAGGTTTTTTTACCTTCATGCATCCTATGCATGAGAGTAAAAAACCTTCTGTGCAGCAGTGCCCCCAGCCCCCCCAAACTTGCCTGAGCTTCATCACGATCCAGCGATATGAGTGACAGCCTCGGCTGCCCCGGGTCTCTGCTTGCTCGTTGGCTGAGACAGCAAGCGGGAGCCATTGGCTCCTGCTGCTGTCAATCACAGCCAGTCAGCCTATGAGAGAGAGAGGGGGTGGGGTCAAGCGATGGCTCTGTGTGTGAATGGACGCATGGAGCTGCAGGTACCCCCATAGCAAGCTGCTTGCTGTGGGGGAACCCAACGGACTGGAAGAGCCAGGAGAGCCTGCGGGGGACCCGAGAATAGGAGGATCAAGGCTGCTCTGTGAAAAACCACTGCACACAGCATGTAAGTATAGACATGTTTGTTATTTAAAAAAAAAAAAAAAACCTTTTAGAATCACTTTAAGCAATCAGAAAGGAGGGTGTGCTTAGTTAAAAAAAAAAAAAAACTTTCCTCTACTCCTGAAGACTCCTGGGATGTATGACATCATTTGCCTAGGCATGGAAACCAGGAAGTAACTGAAGACATGTAAAACAAAGTTTATAACAAGTAAATATGATATACTTTCCTATCTATTTACTAATAATAGCATCAGAAGGATCACAAAATTTAAATGTTGATTGGAATACTAAAGTTTCGCTTTAATTGAACAAGCTGATGTTAGAAGCTGATTGGCTACCATTCACTGTTGCACCAGATTTTGCACTTCTTAGTTTTAGTAAATCAACCCCTATGCCTCTGATATCAACACTCCCCTTTCATTGGACTTCAAAAAGAGCTGTAAAAGGTGGGGGTGCCTTGGCTGAAATGATTTGGTGGTTTTAGAGGACATACTGTCTTCTTTTTGGGATCTTCATGTTAACTGTTGAATTTTGATATCCAAGAACTAGAGCAAAAAAAAAAAAAAAAGGTAAGTAAGGGTTCAGCATAAAGAGCTAAACAAGACTTCTGGAGTAGAAATAAAGTAAAAGATTGTAATATACAGAGGCCTATTAATAAAGGGAAAAACTGACCATCATTGGTTAGCATTTATTTAAAGTGTTACTAAACCTACAACAGTAAAGTCAGTCTGTATATGCAGTAAAGCATGCTTGTTATACTCACTGTGGAGCCTAAGAGGTTAATTCTCCACAGTGTATGAAAAGGCTGTTTGATCCTCTCTTCTCTGATCCTCCTACTCTTCTGCTGTCCCTAGTCCATCTGCTGATAGCACAGAGTCCCTCTGCACATGCTCAGTTTGGTGTGTATTGCTAGATAGTTTTTGTTTTTCTTTGGGAGATTGCACTTGATCGGCACAGGGCTAATCAGCACTGTCCAGACAGAGGGTCAGGGGTTATGCAGCCTCATAGAACAATGAGAGGAGAATGAAAATTCCTACAAGCTTTAACCAGTGCACAGCTGGACACTGATAGCAGTAAAAAATTTTTATATACTGCTGATGAGAAAAGGTATTTAGTATAATTAGTATAATGGAGTGCTTATGGCGCAAAACCAGATCCCCTCCCGCATTCTCCCTCTATAAAGCCGCCTACCTTGCCTACACCACTTCCCTCCATGCCACCAAGCAAGCCTATTTCATAACCCTTATCAACACCCTCTCCACCTGTCCTCGTCGGCTCTTCTCCACTTTCAAATCCCTGCTCTCCCCCCCCCCACCCCCACCAAGCACCTCACTCACCGCCCACGAGATTGCCACTCACTTCCAAAACAAGATTGACGCAATCGCTTCTTCAGCCCAACCACCCCCGAGGAGGTCTCTAAGGTCTTCACTGAAGCCCGCCTCACCACCTGCCCCCTGGACCCTATCCCCTCACAGCTCCTCCAGTCACCCCCCACCTCCATCATTCACTCCCTCTCCCACATCTTCAATGTCTCCCTCTCCACCGTCACCTTCTCCTCCCCTCTAAAGCTCGCACACATCACCCCCATACTCAAAAAACCCTCCCTTGACCCCACTAACCTTAACCTTAGACCCATCTCCTTGTTGCCCTTCACTTCCAAGCTCCTTGAGCGCCTGGCCTACAATCGCCTAAGCGCCCACCTCACTGATAACAACCTCCTTGACCCCCTACAGTCTGGCTTCCGCCCCCTGCACTCCACTGAAACCGCCCTACTTAAAATCACCAATGACCTGCTAACCACCAAAGCCAATGGCCACTATTCTATCCTCCTGCTCCTTGACCTCTCCGCGGCCTTCGACACTGTTGACCACCCTCTCCTCCTTGCTAAACTGCACTCCCTTGGCATCAAGGATGCTGCTCTCTTCTGGTTCGCCTCCTTCCTTTCCCAACGCTCCTTCAGCGTCACCTACAAACACTGCCACCTCCCCCCCTCTCTGTCGGGGTCCCCCAAGGCTCTGTCCTCGGGCCCCTCCTCTTCTCCATCTATACCTCCTCCCTTGGCAAACTTATTCACTCCCACGGCTTCAATTACCACCTCTATGCCGATGACACCCAAATTTACCTCTCCACCCCCCACCTCACCCCCTCACTCTCCGCCCGCATCGCCCACCTCCTAAACGACATATCAGACTGGATGTCGCTCCATTTCCTCAAACTTAACCTATCCAAAACCAAGCTCCTGGTCTTCCCCCCACCCCGTGCCCCCCCATCCTCTCCATCACTAATAACGCCACCATCTCTCCCACCCCACACGCCAAAGTCCTGGGTGTCACCCTGGACTCCCACCTCTCCTTCCTACCCCACATGCAACTGCTATCTAGATCTTGCAGGCTCCACCTCCACAACATCTCCAAGATACGCACATTCCTCACCACAGACACCACCAAACAACTCGTACACTCCCTCATCATCTCACACCTGGACTATTGCAATTCCCTTCTCACCGGCCTACCCAAACGAACGTTATCCCCACTCCAGTCAATCCTAAACTCAGCGGCTAGACTCATCTACCTCGCCAAGCGCTCCACATCTGCCTCCCCCCTCTGCCAATCCCTCCCAATTGCCCAACGCATCAAATTCAAACTGCTAACTCTGACCTACAAAGCCATTCACAATGCCGCCCCAAACTACATAACTGACCTGATACCCAAATACTACCCTACCCGTGCCCTCCGCTCCTCACAGGACCTCCTACTCTCTAGCTCCCTGGTCTCCTCCTCCCACGCCCGATTGCAGGACTTCTCCAGGACTTCCCCCATCCTCTGGAACTCCCTACCCCAATCCATCAGACTGTCACCTACCCTCCTCACCTTCAGGCGCACCCTGAAAAAACCCTCCTCTTCAGGGAAGCCTACCCCAACCTCACCTAACACCCGACCTCACCTAACAACTAACCTCCTCCACTCCTCCCACCACTCCATCCCCCACAGCCATCTCCTCCTGTACCACCTTCCCCTCCCTCCTAGATTGTAAGCTCGAAGGAGCAGGGCCCTCGAACCCCTCGTGTAGTGTATTCTGTCCCCCTTGCTACTGTACAGCGCTGAGCATACCCTTTGGCGCTATATAAATACTGTATAATAATAATAATTCTAAAGTATAACATAATTGCATTTTCATGTTCTGTGTACTGTGGAAGACCAGATATACTGAATGCAGGGTCATGGATTTAGTAACACTTTAAAATCACTTTCTAATTGCATTTGTTATTGTATTGTATGATATATGAATCCTGTCGATGTCTGGATATGTATGTGTTCACTTTCATGTATAAGGCTGTTCTCATAAAAACTAAAAAAATTTGTATTATAAAATGCAAATGAGGTATTATCTGCTCTCCATTAGACACGGTGGCGTTTGTGGTGCCCAAGTGTTCTCTGCATAGTGGTGTAGTGAGTTGTTGAGCCTGGTCACATGACTTTGATAGGTCATGTGAGAGGGATATCCTCTTGGCACTTTTTTTTTTTTTTTTTTTTTACACATTTATGAAAATGAATGGGGGTTTCACCTGTTCTTTCCTAAAGAAAGCAAAGTGTCAAGCACATTTTAAAATTTGTCACTGTGCTATAGAAATGTGCCTTTTTATTGTGTGGCAGTGGGCTCTAGTCGATGCTTAAAAAAGGAAAAAAGCCAAAAACTGTAGCTGCTAACTTTTTAAAAACAGTCGCTCACCTGTGCCTCGATTCAGCGGTGCACTCATCGCAGCCTGTTACACAAGCTGTCCTTGCTCCCCGGTGTTGGCATTTTAAGTGTGGGCACCCGGCTGTGACAGCTTGCGACTTCACAATGGGGGCCCACTACGCCTGCGCGAGTAGTGCTATGTTTTGTGAATGGTCACGTAGTCTTTTGGGACCTGTCCTAGCGGGTACCTGCTTTAAAATTGAGTAAGTGTACTCGCTTTTCCCCCACTCCCCAAAGGTACCAGTTCCCCATAGGGAGCGGGGGATCAGTACTTAAAGTGGATTTCCACTCACTCTGTCAAAAAATAAAAGTCAGCAGCTACAAAAACTGTAGCTGTTGACTTTTAAAAAACAGCCACTCACCTGTCCCCCGCAGCTCGTTCACCGCCCGTCCTGTGTTCCAGGCACCAGCATCTTCAGTGTGGGCACCCGGCTGTGATAGCTTGCGGCTTCACAGCCGGATACCCACTGCGCATGCGTGAGTAGCACTGCGCTTCATAAATGGTCCTGTAGTCTTCTGGGACCTGTCACATGTCCCAAAAGACTACAGGAGGGAGGGAAGACACCTTCCGCTTCCGGTCGCCTAGGAAGTGGAAGCTGGTACCTGTCAAATTCGGGTACCCGCTCCCCCCCACCCCCCAAAGGTGCCAATCCTTAATGGGGAGTGGAGGATCAGTCCTCAAAGCGGAACTTCCCCTTTTGGATGGAGCTTCACTTTAAATTGGAACTTCTCCTTTTGGGTGGAACTCCTCTTTAATAAATGGTCCCCTAAGTCTGACTCACAGGAATCTACTGTATATAATGGCTGGCAGAAGTCCGCCAGCCCGTCTGACAATAACATTCTACTGATCCTCTATTTTTATTCCGTACAGGCCCTCCTTCACCCATATTTCTTCCTTGAACCCCTTCCTGCACACCATTCCGAGCTGCCCATCCCCCAGAGAGGAGGAAGAAGAAACCGTCAGCTTCAGAGGGAGTTTCATACAGAACAGCCTGTGAGTGACAGTCTGCTAGACCCCACACTGCTCAGTGATTACCTCCAGGGACTCTGAACTATGCTGGGACACACAAACCCTTTACTGCGGGGACCAACTTGAGACTGCTATCTATTGTAAAGGACTCAGAAGACTTGCGGTGTTAAAGATTGGAAGCCATATTAATGATCTGAGTCAGCCAGAACTCATGGCACTCACACACAACAAAACGCGTTAGATTTTAGAACCCACAACTGTGAATATGTATGTATTTCTTCAAAGGGAAGGCTTATCTGTGTTCTTCAATGTATTTATAGGGAACCTATGGATTGAATCTATTGAGATGTTTAAATGGATATCTGTCCAACTGTGCTCCCCTTCATGTACTCCTCTCAGGAGAAGAGTATGGAGGCTGAAATTGCTAACATTCCCTCTGAGAATGCTAGTTGCCTGTCATTGATCAACTATAGAGATCATTTGGATACTTTCTGACACTCATTTACTGCATGCTTGCTGTGGGTCAGTGACTCAAGTTTTGAAGCCAGACAGCCAGGTAATTAGCATGTTTTTAAAAAAAGGAAACCAGCAATGGCAGCCCTTGCATGTCCCACATGACCAGTAGTGAGAGAATATAGAGGCAATTACTGGCTTCTCTTTTGGGAAGTTGCTAGCTGCCTGGCTGTCAAGTCTGGTCTGCAATTCTAGAGCTCTGACGTCATGCTGACTTGCTTGTTACATTTCCGTGATTCAGAAAGCGACAGCCAGGCAACTAGTATTTTGTAAAGGGGGGTAGCAATGACTACCCCAATATTTCTCTCATTTCAAGCTTCCTTAGTGTAAACAGTCCTGTCTGTATATGTTAATACTTTTAATTGTCTATCTAGTTGATTTGTATATGTATATGGGAACAGCCGTATTTGATCAGTTTATTTGTGATGCTGCGGTTGCAGCTAACATTTTTTTAATCAGATTAAATCTGCCCCTAAATGACCAAGTAAAAGCAAGTGGTATCCCATATTCTCAGGGTTGCTTTCAATTTTTTGGGGGCAATTTTCTTATGAAATAAAGAAAATAAAAATGAAGATCTTTATTACTGAATGGTATTGTTCAGGGAAACTTGCCAACTTGCCTGAAAATCTCACTGTGAGCAGGCATAAACTTGTGTTCTGAGTACGAGGGTATGAGAAGTACCGCATGATCACCACTGGCGGTGTGGCCGAGGATCACAGTGGTGGGTGGCACATGCTTGACTTGGACAAGGATGGAGATATCCTCTTGGATATTTAGCCCTTTCACTGCTAGAGCCGATTTTGCATTTTTTGCACACGTTTAAAGAAAATCATTTTAGGCCTGAAGATTACATAAAACCCCCAAAACATTTTTATATTTTCTAAAAACAGACACCCCAGAGAATAAAAACGTGGTAGTTTCAACTTTTTATGTTGCACGATATTACTACAAAGGTATTACTGCAAAAAAATATTCAAGTTAATTTTAGTGCACACAAACGCTAGAAATTACTAAATGTTTTTTGGTAAAATATAATAGACGAGGTTGCACCGAGTAAATAGATATCTAAAATGTCAAACCTTAAATTTGCATGCACCTGTGACATGGCGACAAACTTCAGTACCCTATATTTTCCATAGGCGACACTTTAAAAGCCCCCTATAGGTCGTCAGTTTAGCAATACGGAAGTTATCTGGTGCTAGAAATATTGCTCTCACTCCGGTGTGCACAGTGATATGTAACACGTGTATCGCAATCAACATTTTCATGTGTAGGCGACCCTGAAGCACACATTTACGTTTGTATGTGCGTATATGTGGGTGTGGGGGGCCTCAGACATTTTGGGGATTTTATGTTCTTGAATGTAACTTTAATTTTTTTACAATTTAAAAAAAAAAAAAATGTACTTAACTTTTTTCAACACACAGGGACAAAACCAATCCCCTATGTGATGACATTTTGGTGACAGGTTCTCTTTATTGAGACATCTGGAGTCTAAAAGACCCTGCATGTCTCCTCTGTGCTCCGCTGAATGTAATGTAAAGCAGATCGCTCTGCATTACATTCTCTCCCTCCCCCCTACCCAGCGGCACCTGCTAATGCCCCCGTGTCCCGACCACCCTATAGCAGAAGTACTGCTACAGGGCGGCAGGGCTGCGCAAAAGTGTGTGTGTGTGTGTGTGTGCGTGCGTGCGCGATTTTGTATTTCCAGGTAGGGAGCACGCACGCTGCCCTACCCGTCCTGCCATTGGCGGCTACAGCTGTTGATCAACGGGTCCCAGCCGGAGATTCCCTGCCGGCACCTGGCGATCGCCAAGGGACACTGACAGCAGAGACGTCTGTGTGTAAACAATACAGATCTCTCCCCTGTCAACACCAGCACAGAGCAATACAAAGCAGAGTGCTTACACAGTAAAGCACACACATACAAAAATAGTAAAATAGCACACAGTTAACCCTTTGATTGCCCCAGATGTTAACCCCTTCCTTCCCAGTATCATTAGTACAGTGTCAGTGCTTTTTATTAGTATTGATCACTGTATTAGTGTCACTGGGATGTCAGTGGCAGTTAGTCAGTTCCCACTACAGTCCCGCTATAAGACGCTGATCGCTGCCATTACTAGTATAAAAAAATTCCAAACCAATTTAATGTACATGTATTGGTATATTTTTTTTTTTTCTTAGCAGACATGTAGCAGAATACATTTTGGCCCAAATTTATGATGAAATTTGATTTTTTTTTTTTATTTTACTGGATATGTTTTTTATAGCAAAAAGTAAAAAAAGTATAATTTTTTTTTTCAAATTTTTGTGTTTATAGCGCAAATATTAAAACACGCAGAGGCGAACAAATACCACCGAAAAAAAAAGGACATAAATTTAATTTGGGTGCAGCATTGCATGACCGCGCAATTGTCAGTTTAAGTAATGCAGTGCCGTACCGCAAAAAATGGCCTGGTCAGGAAAGCGGGGTAAGTCCTCTGGAGGGCAAGTGGTTAAAAATATGTGGTTGTGTTTGGTCAATCAGTAAGCTCAGACTGACTGAACTCAATGCAATGTCTATCTGGCTCATCTTGGGTTTTAACTCAGCAGTTCTATAGCAATCTGCAGCAGCCCTGTCTGACGTTCGGATAACTACTAGAGGGATCTATGCATCTTTTATGTATCACAGTTTTCTATGATAAGCATGCATTCATGGCAACAGTCATCTGTGACTTGGAAAAAAAAACTTTAGAATAACTACAAATTACTTTTCATGCATTATAATCCCCTGTACTGTATTGCCCTATTTTTGGTTTGTGTGTTTTTCGTTTGTTTTTTTTTACAGTTAAATTATTTCCTTTAGGAGAAAGCTATATTTTTTTTGCTTGGAGTGTACTGGTGTGCTTTCTGCAGGCCTCCTGTGCCTTTCCCTAGTGATGCAGAGAGTCAGCACTGGTGAGTGGGATGGGACTGGGACGGGCGCAGCTCAGTGGGTTATCTGGGTGCCAGAGATAAGGACTGCTAGTCAGTCACTCTGGGCGCAGGGGTGTGTGGGGAGCTTCATGTCTCAGCACTTTGTGTGACAGCTGGAGACTTGACAGGGACCAGGGACGGAGCAGTCTTGGTTAACCCCTGCCTTGCCAGAGAGAGCCATGAAGGGACTTTACCCCCCAAAACCACTCGGCACTATAGTGTATTGGAACAAGGGAACCTGTTTTCTGATTCTTACCTGCCTGGTTCTGCCATGGCTCCTCTCCAGCACCAAAGCAGTGCTAATTCTAGAAGACATCCACACTTTTACATTCTATCTTCCTGACTAATACATAGTCCAGCACCTGAAACCCTGAAATATCTTGTGTCAGTTTTCCCCCAGGTCTGTTCTGTCAATCATTGGTGGAAACAGTTGGGCCTTGTTTACACTTGTGTTGTCCTCCGAAGAGCGATTTACATTGGATCACCTTTCAGATGCCATTTGACAGGCTGTGAGGAGGCATTATATTTCCTCCTCACTGCCTGTCTTTACCCCTTAAACCCGCAGCAGTGTGCTGAAACCACATGCATTGCACACAGTTGTAGGGTGCCCCCATCCAGTTGAATGGGTTTAGTCCAGTGGGTGGTACTGCCCACCAATAATTTCTACCACGCCATGATGCAAAACATTGTGGCCAGGGAATGTGTACACTTTTTTTTTTTTTTTTTTTTTTTTTTTGCAAGATTTGTAATAAATGATTTTTTACTTTCAAACTACTCTGCTTGGGTTTATTTAGAACCGTTATTTAAAAGTAAGTTTAATGCAGAAGAGACCTATCATATCTCTTCTGCATTAAAAGTCCTGCCTGTTCACCCATTTTTGTTTTCATAAAAGTCCACTTTAAGGGGGAGCAGTTTTTTTTTTTTTTTTTTTTTTTTTTTTTTTTTTTTTTTACTGCCCACCAACAACAAGTTAAAACTAGACCTTACACAAGTGTTCCAGGTTCAGAACTGCTCAGCTAGAACATGTTGAAAGGAACAGCTATATAATAATGTAAAGCTGGACATGTGCTGACAAGAAGCATAATGATAGGAGGAAAGAGCAGAGTGACAGGGAGGTGACCTCATCACTGTGCTGCTTCTCATTTTATTGTCCAGTCACAGGCTGGGGCTGGTCTAGGATAACCTGGGCTCAGAGGAAGTGAGTTAAATTATGCTGACCATCAGACTGAGGACATCTATTAGCAGAAAAAAGTATTGCGGGGGGAGGGGGGCGACTCTGGATTGAAGGTGAATATTGCAGCAAACTTTTTTGTATTTTATATTTTAATTGGCATTTCATTTTTATCTTTCTATTTCTTTTTTTGGATGGGGTCCTACTTTAAGTGCTACCACTTGTATGTGTCTATTAACAGCATAAGCTGATTTTTCACCCTATACCCAGTCACCCTAAAGTCCAGATTACTGTCATTGCATGGGCTCTACTGTGGCCCTTTCAGCTCCAATTACTACACAGAAATTCCTTACAGCAGTGGTCTCCAAACTGCAGACCGGGTGTGGCCCTTTGCTTGCCTTTTATTCGACCTGTGGGGCACTATTCCTCCCACAGACACCAA